GGCTATATCAAAAGCAAGATGAAAGCATGGAAAAAATGAAAATCGGGCCCATGACAAATGCACTTAGTTTGACTCCAAATACTTCATAAGCTATGAGCATTGAGCATTTTAACCAGTATCATTGTTAGAAGTCGATGTATGTTTAGACTGCATCCTTTTTGTACCTTCATGACCGGTCCTGCTTTAGTAAGACGGACAAGAACATTATCTGGCTTTATATCACGGTGCACTATTCCACAGCCGTGCAGGAATGTAATGGCACTGCTGAGCTGCTCAAGCACTGCATGGTTGTACTCAGCAGACGGTGGCCTGGACAGAATGTAGTGGTTTAAATCCCCTCCATCGCAGTACTCCATCACCAACCAGAAGGCAAAGCAGCGCCTGGGAACCTCCTCTGTGGACATCAGTCTCCTCTTTGACCTGGAAGGATTCCTCATTTGGGTTTTTGAGTCTTCGTCCACCACTCTCCCTTTGAGAACACTCTCCACCAAATCCAAAGGCAGCCTCCCTGATCTCAGGGGCTGCAGGGTTCTAGGTCCAGTCTCTAGAAGGCAGTTGTATAGAGAGATGACATTGGGGTGGTTCTGTGCAGTGATTCTCATAGCCCAGAGCTCCTGCAAATACAGCTCTATACTCTCTGGGCTACAGCATGGTAGACGTTTAATGGCCACTGTGTCACCCCTATCGCCCCACCAGCCAGTCTCTGTCACGTGTCCCTTGAAGACCACTCCATAGCTGCCTCGTCCCACTTCTTGTTGCAAAGTGTAGATATCATCCATCCCAGCAGCCTTTGTTGTTCACTGAATCAAATGCAAGATTCACTGGTGTCCTCAGGTGTTGAGTGTTTTATTCCATTGTTCTAATATTACAAGGGGGGAGGGGGGGACAATAAAATTAGTTACATTTAAAAATATGCAAATTATATATCAACATTTATAAATTATATATATATATATATATATAGTGGACATTATATTTTAGTGAATTTCTCTGACAGACACAATATTAGATATTACACAATTAGATATTATTATGAAAATGTTGCCAATTATTACTCCCGATATTATATTTCTTTTTTCATTACATGTTGCCCCAAAAACACATTCATATGCAAATTAGGTACAATGTATAGGTATAAAAGTATTTCTATATAAGTGCAAGTAATAGTGTTGTTAGTTTATATGTTTGATAAAGGTATAGAGAGAATTGAACTCACATGTAGTCATTTTTATAGTTTTATCTTTTGATTATAAAGCTTATTTATATTACCTTTATATATTTATATTAATTTAAACTAAGTGCTTAATAATATCTGCTAAAATAAAATTGTACACGTGTAATGGATTAAGGGTATAATTACATAAATAATATCTAGATCATACAAAATTATTACTTTAAATAAGCAATGCTAAAAGCCAGACAAATTTGTCTTTAAAAATCTTTTACTATGTAGTGACCTTTAATTTGGAGTAGAAACAGGGGGAGTGACTTTATCCCATCAGACATGTGTCACTTTGCCCACAGCTGATTGGTCCAATTTCGGGTCTCTTAGACATCGTAAAGTACTATGGCGATGGATGAACACTGCTAAAAGCCAAACCACTTTGATGGTGCCTAAAAACCCAGGATTGGCGCAAACTATCCTTTTAAACCGGCTTCATGGTGTAATTTTAGGCCACTACAGAGGACATATCATAACATATGAATTAAATATCTTTTCAAAAATGTTTTTTCCCCAATCTGTTTCATATAACGTTATATCTATATATAAAGAAAGTCCTTTAACTAGACAACCAATTGTGTTTACAGTTCCTATTAAGACTATTAGTCAAATTACCGGTCTTTACAATATAAACATTTATCTTGCTTTAAAATAACAGAGAAATGGACGCCTTCAAATTATAGCACTACTTTAGCATTTCCACTCCTGTTGCTTTTTTGTCAATAATGTGAATACACTTACCGATTAAATCGCGTCGAATGTAAAGTGTAACGTTAGTTATTTATACGTTTTTTTGTTTGTTTTTATATAACTTATAATTCATCAAAAAACGTATTGTCAGTGTCCGACCTGAAAGTACTCATAATACAAATCAAATGTAAACAGCACCTCATTTCCGTAATAAAACTTCCGTATTTTTTAGATCTTCGCGCGTCTGGTGGTGTTCTGCGTTTCTATTGGTCAATGCCGTTTCAGATGACAGCGTTCACCAATAAGATACTAGAACGTCAACACCCATTTCAAAGTGACCATTGAAACTCTTCACAAGGCTCGCCTTGATACATACAAGTCTTTTAAATGCCTTTATTAGTGTTTGAAAGTCAAGAAACGTAATTGTATACGTTTCTAGTTTGTTTCTAAACGTGTATAGTTTTGTCAGGTTTTGCGTGTAATTTTGTTTGGTTTGATAATCATAACAACGCAAGCCCAGTACAGTAGACCTAACGTTACTACACACTAATTTGTTTAAAACGCATTTAAATTATATATAATTTTCTAAACTTAAAATTCAATATAATCATATTTTTGTTATTGCTTGTAAGTGAGCACAACAAAACCACGCATACATTGAGACAAGACGCAGCTACATAATGAAGGTAGGTTGAAATGCATAATAAATAATATCGGTGACAAGTTTCACATGTGTTTAATGTTATACATTTATACAATTTGTTGGTCAAAACACTTATTCGACATGACAGTACATTTCATTTTACACTGTGGCTGTTAAGATTTTCTGTTAAGATGTTGCTGTTAAGAAAGTAAGATACTTATATCAGAATCAAGGATTATCCAACTTTAAAAGTGGGATTAAACAGTAATTGTATAGCTATTTTTTGTTAAAATCACCAAAATCCCCCATAAGAATCTAAGTCCTTCCGACTTAGAAATTTGATAAAAATCCCTGACACAAGGTGGCCCTTTAATGCTTGCCTAAAGTTACCAAAATGTCAGACACAGATAAGGAAACCTCTATGATAACACAAGAGCATCCCCTGCCCTGACTGTCTGAACACGCTGTCACTCCCATTCTCACATTACAGAAAATACCCATCCAATTATTTTCTTCTAATTTTACTTCTCTGTAATAGCAGCACCTACATCATGTCTAACCAATGACCAAAGAATTTCTCGTTCCTCATCCAGTCAGTATCCTGAGATATATTCCGACTCGGTGCCATATGTTATCTAGTCCTTTCAGATTTTTTTAGAGTTGATTTTCCACAGCCTTGAGAAAATCCTATTGCCTCAAGCTCTCTCACCCACTGGCTTTATATTTCCCATATTTTATAATTATTGAATATCTTTGGGTCATTCTGTTTAAATCAATTAAGTGTCTAGAATTAAACGTCATCATTGAAAATTATTGCCACGAGCTTCCCATAAAACATAGTAGTATCTCACAGGGACTGACAAGCCTCAGTGCTCTTCATCGCCTCATACAACAATAAAACTTTGCCCTGGAATGATGAAGGGAATAAAACAACATCGAGGCCCCCCGATCATTCTGCGTCACAGAGGTGAATAAGCCTACTCGTATAATTGCATATCTTGCGTAAACTGACTTCAATCTTACTCTGAGGTGGTATCTCTCCACAATGCGTTCAGGTGCTGGTTCTGTGATTCAGCCACTGCTGTAATATGATATGGCACAGAATCTGATGAGTTTCTCTGTAGCGGCAAGGCGCATTTCTGTTTGTCTGTGTATAATATCTCATTCCAGACTTACTGCATAGAACAGTATGCAAATGCATGGGACAGGGACTCAGGTGATGGGTTATTTTGGTTGTCTATTATTTAGGAACGAGTTATCAAAGACTGTGTACTGGACGCATGAAATTAATAATTGTGATGTTTATTGGTTCATTTCATCAGTGGCACAAATGCATGGCACATGCTTTTTAAAATCACTACGTGCATTTAGAGATTAATTACAAATCAGGATTTGTGTTTATTTTTGCATCTAATCCATGTTATTTAACAGCCTCTGAAATGACATGATTAGGAAGATCAAAGCAAGCTATTGTACTTAAAGTGTGCTCTTATCCAGACCTACATTAGCTGGTCTTACCCAAATTAGTTTATTTTTCAACAGGCTTTTTCTAATGCTGAACCACTTACAAATATAATGTGCTCATTCAAGTAATTATCAGCTAGAACACAATGTTACAGTATTTCAATTTTCCCCAATGCTTTTTGGGTTTCGTGTGTTTTTTGTTGGCTTTGCATGCTTGTATGCTATGCTCATCATGTAAGATCACAGCATCCTTGCTGGAAAGACCAGATCCAAGCTGATTTTTGCTGGTCTACCTGGTTTTGAATGTGAATTGATAGTAGCAAACTCCAATTTGAATTTTAATGCAAGTTAGTACAGTGACATTCTTATTAAATTTTTATTTTTGTGGATTTTTAGTTTAAATCGCATTATTTCTTGTGTTTCCTTCTGTTGTATCTATATAGCCTATATCTACACACATATATATATATATATAAAGAGTTCAGATGCAAAAGCCTCTAAGTGCCATTTGAAATTTTCTTCTAAAATGATCATTTTTATCAAGCTTGTATATTTAAGTTCAGTAATTTCATTTAAATGGCAATGAAGATTACCTATTAATTGTCATTTAAGTGAAATTACTGAACTTAAATATACAAGCTTGATAAAAATGGTCATTTTAGAAGAAAATTTCAAATGGCATTTAGAGGCTTTTGCATCTGAACTCTTCATATATATATATATATATATATATATATATATATATATATATATATTTGCACTGGCTTTTTTGAGTTTTACTTCTAAAGTTAAGAGAACTTTGATTAAGAGAACTCATCAATTGGATAAACACACTAAATTAAGTTTAGTTTAGTATTTTTCACGTAGGTGGTAAGTAAGAAGGCGAGGTGAGGCACAGATGATCTAATTTGCAACACTATTAACTTTAATATACTAAACAAAGCAAAAAAAAACAATGAAAACAAACTTACAGTATTTCAGTTGAGCTTGTTCACAGTGTAGGAATTAGATATTTAGTAAAAGGAAGATTTGTCAAGAAAGACTGAATATTGACTTTATATGGCTTAAAGATGGACATTTTAAATTATATCATATTTAATAAAGTAGCTTTTGTGGACCAAAGTGTGAAAAAATTGTTCCATTTCTCTGAATTGCAGTTCAGTACATTCCTCTTCCTCTCATTTGAAATTTCAAGTCAACTTCCTGTTTGTTGTGGCCAATTCACATCAATTGTATTTCAAATTGCAACTTGCAAGGAACCAATGAAGTATATATTAAAAACAAATACATTTTATTGAAATGCTTTATAAAATCAAGTTAGTTTTATAGTTGTATTATTCATCACTCTTTTAAACATTGCTTTCCTTTTTGTCTTCTTATTCTTACGTTCACAGTCCCGTTTTTCCTTTTGGAGTGGATGTGAAGTGTCAGCGTCCACCGAGACTTCCCTTTGCCTCTGGGAGATTTTGTTTTTCTCCTGTATGCACTGCTCAACTGTAAATTGCGTCTCAGGCTTAATTTGCAATTCTCACTCCCAAGTTAGCGCTTATCTTGTTAGAGGAACGTTATCTAAGTTTCTTACCATCAGTTAATTGATGGAAACTATGTTTGGACATATACAGTCAATAGATAAAAAAACCAATGATGTGTTGGTCCATGACAAGAATGGATATACAATTTGAATGATGCATAATTTCATCTTTTGGGATGGTGGTGACGTTGATCTGTACGTCAGTCTTGACTAAGGGTTGTGTGTCTGTACAGGTTGTGCGTAATACCCTCCATGGTGTAGCCCCATCCACCAACAATGGGGGGGCTGAACCAGTGGAAGGGGTGGGTCGTTATAAGAGGGGAGAGAAAGGGAGCCGGCAAGCAGTTGAACAAACCAAGAAGCTGAAGATTGGACATAACCACTTCACCTCAAGACTGAAAGTGAGAGAGAGACTGACAACAGCCCCTTATCACAGACGGCAGGTAAAACAAGGTGTCATGGTGATGCCTGTATTTTTGTATTGATTCTAATTCCACACTGAAAGAATGCAGATTATACATGTTTATTGGGTCATTTGCTTGTTTTTTGTCTGATGTGACTAGTATTTTGTGATTACTCACATTTTTTTTTTGATTGCTTGTCTATTAATGTTAATATTTGTAATAATGAGTGCAATTGCATTCACAGTCAGTGGTTTTTTTATGGGGTGCGAATGAGCTAATAAGTGCTGCTCTTTAAATAATATTTTTTTCCATTACTCATGGCTTTTCCTCGTTAATCATCTTCATGGTTACCAATTAACTGACATTAACCTTTGTGGCTGGAATTTCTTGATGTTGCTTGTAAACTTTTTGTTAAGTTTTTCATTTGCAGACATCTCTCTTTCGCTTTATTTTTGGTTAATAAGCCACTTTTACAAAGGATGGATTTATTGTAAAAATTAGAACATAAAAATAGGCTCTCTCATTAGGCTCTCTCACAAATTTTATGTCCATTTACAATTGATTGAACTTGCATATAACACTACAACATTACTAAACAAATGCATTCGCAAAGCTTTGATCACAGACACTTGAGTGTCTGCGCTGGGTTTGCCAGTGCAATTCTGATACAGCTGTTTTTACAGCCGTAATTAAAATAAACCTAAAATGATGTGTCCACTGAGAGTCGCTTTAATCAACTAGAGTATTTTGTGCTTATTTTTCATACCAATTTTTTTAATGAAATTTCAGCCTTGAGCAGAATATCAACAAGTGTGCTATTCATTTAATATTTTCAGCTTCTAAGACAACATTTCATTTATACTAGTAAATAACATTATCAATAATAAATAAATAAATCATTGATAAATGTAAATATATTTGTGTGGGTTAAATATATTTAATTTAATATATATATATATATATATATATATATATATATATATATATATGAAGAGTTCAGATGCAAAAGCCTCTAAATGCCATTTGAAATTTTCTTCTTTAATGATGATTTTTATCAAACTTGTATATTTAAGTAAAGTAATTTCACTTAAATGGCAATGATAATTACCTATTAATTGTTATTTAAGTGAAATTACTGAACTAAAATATACAAGTTTGATAAAAATCATCATTAAAGAAGGAAATTTCAAATGGCATTTAGAGGCTTTTGCATCTGAACTCTTCATATATATATATATATATATATATATATGTATGCATGATGCAAAGTATTCTTTGTAAAGGCAAGGCACAAAAATGAACTGTTATCTATCTGTGGTGATTTAATTTAACTCAATTTAGTTTTTAATTATGGTTAATTTGATTATATTTTGTGTTTTCTAAACAAGATATATTTAACAATACAAAAGATAATGATAGTTGAATCATTATTTGCAATGATGTAAATTAAGATGGATTACTGGTAAGTAAATGTTATTTTTACCCAAATTAAGGAATATAACAATATGTATTTATTATAATCATATATAAACATACTTTTATTTAACTTTTTAAACTTTATTTGTCCTTTATTATTATATTAATTATTTGCAAATTCTCTGTTAGAAGCGCTCTCTCAGTTGGAAGCACTCAAATGTCTCTTTTAAGGCGTGCGAAATATCTTCATGCATTCATTAAAAAGTGGACATCTTAAACCAATATCTTTCAAACCAATGCATCTGAGGACTAAGGCAAATTCAAGATGAACAAATCTTCCGAATTGCACAGATTATGCATCCCATAATAAATGCATGCTCCAATCCTCTGAATTGAAACATGAAAGCTGCTTGTCTAATTTTATGTAATTATTTAAAAACTTTGCACTGCATGCATTAGGGATACTAGTTTGCCTCAGATTGATTACCTGAGCCATGTTAAATTGATTTTTGACCCTAAAATCCATTAGAGCAGAAGCATTTCATGCATAATTACGTACATCTATCAATTAAAGTTGTACTCTCTTATATTGGCAAGATAAAATCTATTTAATCAATTAATGCCCTCACTGGATTTCCAGAAACCATCAACTTTTACGCTTGTTATGCATAATTGTGGGAATTAACTGAATGTATTTTATCCCATTCTAAGCTGCTCCTTAACTTGGACTCTAAGACAGCTGACTAAATGACTAAATGTTTTTTTATATAATTTAGAATTTTATACACCATTATTATTATTATAACTGCTTCTGATGCCTATATCATTTTAATTTTACATTAAAATCGCAAACCCTGTAAAGGAATTGTGACTTTCCATGAGGCAAACCATCTTAAGCATTTACTTTCACCTTTGATTTGAAAGGTGGTGACAGTGGCATTTATTGCATTTTCTCCTCGCAATTGAAATATCATGCAAATAGTTCTTCAAAAATAAAGAAAGAAAGAAACTTTTCACTCCCTCCCCCTTCTCTTTATGCTCATTGTCATGGCCACGGGGAGGATAATGCAATGATTGCTGCTGTTCTGCCAGTGAAGAGGCAGTGTGTGTGGAGGGGAACCATGATCATCTGCAACGGGACTGCAGACTCTGAGCCCTCGGGCTATCGTTGTGCTCTCAATTAAAGTAACCATGCGAATCCCCCCATTCCTCAACGGAAATGGTAATGACAAAGAGGAGAACCTAGATTATTTTGATACGATGCTATTGCGAAGGAGGAAAAAAAATTTGCTAGATGTAGCAAACAGGTGAGCTATCATTTACTGTGTAATAAATCCGAGATGAAGTGCATTCAGCGGATGATATTAATGTGGATGAGAAATGAGAAAGAGGTTGTGTTCTTCCGTCTGCTGTGGAACAAACAAACAAAAGTAATTGTTAGCCAAACAAAAGTTGAATTAATTTCATGTTGCATGAAATGTCATGACACAGTTGACCTACAAAAATAGAAACGGGAAAAAATAAAAAGCAGAAGAAGAGCAGCAGACTTGATTTTCAGAATCTGGTGGTGACTCAGTTGAAGCCAAGGCGCGGGGACAGAATAAGAATGGGGTTTGGTGTTTACCGTGGAGGTGATACGATCAGGTGGCTGTAGGAGAGAGCGAGCAGGCTGATCAAATCAGATTAGTCGCATTCCCTTAGATTAGTCAAAGACTGGACAGAGCACCTTCCCTATGAGGAAATGTGCAGCTTTCATAGACACACTTGACCAAAAAATAACATTTCTGTCATCATTTACTCGCATATCGTTCCAAAACTTTTTTTGTCAGTACAATGAAAATCAATGGGGTCCAAAACAACACCAACACTAAGATATATTATCTTCTTTTATCATACAGCTTGGCTGATATTTTGTAAAGATCTCTATGAAACTGGGGTCATCAAACAGGACTTCTATTTCTCAGCAAAATAACTATAGTGAAAAAATACCTATACCAAAATAAAATACATTTCTTTCATAATACTACAAATTCCATTTACATATTGATTGCTTGAGACTTACTGATATGAATATTATAATTATTAAACTTTATTTGGAATATATTCCTTTACTGCACAATGCACATTTCTTAATGGTAAGCCTAAAGGATAGTATGATCGCTGTATAATAGCAGTCTTTAAATGCAAGATATTTAACGTGCACCTAAAGTATATTTGCAATAGTTCCATTTTTAGTTGGACCTAATTTCCGGGTAACTAACGTGCATTTAGTACAAATTTGAAGTATATCAATTTAGTATACCTAAAGTACAATTGCAGGGTATTTATAATAAGTATAAATATGTGAATGTATTTGTAGTTTACTTTTGGTATATTTATTTTTCACTGGGAATACAGGCACCGAATTAGTATTGCAGATGACAAGTTGCTAAGGTTGATGCCTTTGCGCTCTCCCTCCAGCTGTTCTCATATTTCCATTATCTCCGCCAAACACTTTTAATAAGAGATTATACCAGGGGATGATCATAAAAAGTTCCATCAAATCACTCTCTAAATTGAACTGTATTAATGATGCAAGAGATTTAATTGGTTGGAAAAGTTTTTTTTTGTGTAGTGTTTTTTGATGGTCCTTCCCTCAGAGTGCATTGGATACCCATGTCCACATGAGGGGCTGTAATTATACTTACTCACTGAGCAGAGACATCTCAAGATGCTTTTATTGTCAACTTTTCATCACAGCCCCACCGAAAGATTTTTTGGCTTTCATCAAAGAAAGCTTTTAGAGGTGAGCGCATGTGTGCGTTTCTATCCTAATGCGGTTGTGACTAATGTGTGCTGGCGCAGTGTGTGACTCAGAGTTTGATGGGAACTGCATTCCCGCTCTTTCTCTCCCGCACTCATTTCCTTCTCATTATGCCACACTCGCTAATTCAGACATTAATTAGGGCCTATGATGAGTTTCCTTAATGAACTTCAGTAGCCTATGTGTGGGGGGAAAAACAGATGGTGCGTATTTTGACATGTGTCAGTGGTGGTGGACTGGTGGTGGTGATCCACATCATTACGTTATACTTTCATGTGTGAATTTTGCAAATAGGTTTGATTCACTTTGAGACTTTGCTCTTCATTGTGATTGTCGTGACTTGATCTTATCTCCTGAGGGACATGAGTTTGACTTCTGAAAGTCTTTAATGTGCCAGATCTTTAAAGTGCCAGATTATCAGTTCTAATATCTTGGATTAGCAGGATTCGTTTAGTTGATTGACAAGCGTGAAAAAAAGGTGTTTCCAGAGCTGATTAGCTTATAGGTCAAATTGGCTTTGGATGTGCACGGGGACGTCCTTGTAAAATGTACTAGACCTCTAAAACTGATTGGAAGCCTAACACTTCATTGCTTTCATTAAGAATATTACACATTTAGATCAAAAATATTTAGCAAATGATTATTCATATAGTCAGAAAATTTGTGATAATGCAAGAAAGTTCAGAGCCGAAAAAGAAAGAAGTATGCTCGCATACTCACCAAGGCTATACATTTATTTAATCAAAAATACAGCATTTTGAGAAATATTTTCTATTTCAATACATTTTTAATGTAATTTATTCCTGTGATTTACCTGAATTTTCAGCACCCATTACTCACATATCACATGATCCTTCAGAAATCATTCTATTTCTAATATCAAGAAAAAAAATCTGATTATTATAAATGCTGAATTGTGCAGTTGAGATTTTTCAGAATTCAAAATTTTCAATGGTAGTTAGAAATAAGAAATCATTATTTATATATATATATATATATATATATATATAATGTAACAGTCATTCGAAGGAACCCCTGGAAATCCCTGGTAAAAAAAAGTTCTGGCAGGTCATGTTAGTCAAGCTTGCATCAGCTGATGTCTACCTATAGGAATATGACGCCTATCACTGTATACATATTAGCTCTTTCAATATTATCAGCAGCTCTCGCGTTTCTCAGGAGCTAATTACCCTCCTCCATCCCCAGCTCCTCCTCTCGCCCATGCAGTCAGGATTTTACATTTCCCCTGATTTCTGATTTCCCCCTTGAATCAGAATAAATTCTTGAATGATGTTGTATTTTAAAATCTTGAATGAATGATATCTGCAATACATTCATGTTGGTTCTGTTCTGTTTACCCTAAATGGGGTTATTGCTGCTCTCCTTGCTCTCATCCATGCTAGGCTGCATGAATACGCAGGGAGTTCTAGCCCAGAACAGAACCATCCCGCCAATCCAAACTGTATGCTAATTGTCAATAGAATTCGACGATAGTGGTCCTGACAGAACTGGAGACATAAAATAAGTGTGCAAGATGAAGGCAAGGGGCAAATATGACTAAATTACAATCCCTGGGCCAAATTGCTTTGCATAGTAATTTTTTTAAGAGTTTTTCTTGGAACCACTTCAAATTTGCTCTGTTACTTCATGAACCTATGCTTTCTTAGTCACTATGAGGTGCTTAGAGTATCAGTAGAAGACTTTACAGACTTTAAAGTCTTCTATACAGATTTACACTTTACAACCAAAAGTTGTAAACTGCAGTTGTTTAATGCTGCAAATGATTGCCAGTCAAACATCTCACCCCTCTTCTCTTTCCTTCATCAGAGCTCCCAGTGGCTATTACTTTTGTTTAATCCGGTGTGTGTTCCGTGAAGAAGTCATGAAGTCCCCTTTATGGACCCTGCTGCTCTTATGCTTGTGCTCCATGGGTCACAGCGACTGCCAAGGGGACTGTTTAACCTGTGGACTCATCCTACCTGAACATCAAGCTTTTAATACATTGGTAAGTGCATTGCTACTAATAGAAAAGTACAAACTCCCTATTAATGTTCATGGTTTTGAAATGAAATGCTTAGCGAGCACATATGTGTGTGGTGTTTGTAATAAAACAAGTAATAAATCAAATATGTCTATAAAGCTGGAATGGATGAGAGAACTGTAATAGAAATCAACTTTGTCAAAAGTTGATCTTTGTCACAATAGTGGCTGTAATGAAGTTGCTAATGACTGTGCAGACCAAACAGCTGTGACTGGGGTGATTGGGGTAATGCCTGCCCATAATTGGCTGCTGTGGTGCTGTCAGCTGCTGATGTTGTGGTAGTGATTGACACTTGGTAGGGGCTCTCTTTCTGTGACCAGATGGGTCCCTTTGGGCATGGTTTTCCTCTGTGACACCGCAATAGTGTCAGACTTTAACATTTCATCAGCAGATGAAGACCGTATATTCACACTCACATACAGTGCATGCTAAATCTGTTTTTCTTATGCCCATATATATATATATTGTCTTATGTTCTATCTGATTGTTTTTCAGATGGCATCGACATTTAATTCACAATGGCCAATTACTTTCCATGCATGCAACTTCTAGTTTCACTCCACCGCTACAGTATAAGCCGGTACACCATTTATGATCTATTTTCCCCTATAAATGGGAGATAATAAAAAAAGGCTCACGCTACATGATTGTCTTTAGAGAGGACATCACATGAACATTTTGAGCAAAGAACATTTGTCTAGAGCTGAGCATTGCTGTGCTGATCACATACATAATTTTTATCCCATTCTAGTCACTCAATTATCATATAATTTCTTGCACCAATGCTACATATCATTTCACATCTCATTGCACTGGTAAGACCGTTTGCATGCAGCATTGTGCCACTAGGAATGTTTTATGATTTTTTATTAGAAAGGGCAAATTCATATGACATAAATCTCCAAAGGATAAAACATATTTCAATTTTAAATGGGAAATGTTTTATATTCTTATATCCATTATTTTAACAGAACAAAATATAAACATACACAAAAAAATCTAGTTTTTTATAATATTAATTAATAATAATATTAAAGGTTTCTTGAGCACCAAATCTGCATATTAGAATGATTTCTGAAGGATCATGTGACACTGAAGACTGGAGTAATAATGCTGAAAACTCAGCTGTGCCATAACATAAATAATAAGGGCTGTCAAACGATTAATCGCATCTAAAATAAAAGTTTGTGTTTATGTGTTATGTGGGTGCACTGTGTATAATTATTTTCTATATAAATACACACACATGCATGTATATTTAAGAAAAAAATATGATTTATATATAAAATATTTATATTTACATATAATATAAATTATATATAAATCTATATACAGTATATACATTAAAATATTTCTTAAATATATACAAGCATGTGTGTGTATTTTATATATATAAAATAATTATACACAGTGCACCCACATATATTTTGTAAACACAAACTTTTAATTTGGATGCGATTAATCGCGATTAATTGCTTGACAGCCCTATAAATAATACATTTTAAGAATACATTTTAATATTCAAATAGAAAACAGTTTTTTTAAATTGTAATATTATTTCACAAAGTTCCTGTTTTTACTGTATTATAGAAAGGGAAATCATTTCAACATTTAAATTGTGTTCAGTTCAGTCCATTTTGATGAGTATTTGTCCATTTTAAATAAAAAAAAATCTCTATTATGAAACTATTTTTCATGTCATGTAAAAAAAAAAAAAATCTCTGGTATTTTGCAGGTATGTATCCTGGAATGTGAGGCACGGGCTTCTCCTGCATTGACCTGGGATTTGTGTTACCAAGCAGCGGGTCTGAAGCACCTTCCGCTACCGTTACAGCAGGAGGAGACATCAAAGCGCTCTGATGATGAAGTGGAGCCTCTGGCCACAGTGAGCATAGAGAATGACAATGGTGTCGAGTATACTGAGGCTTTGGAGCGGTTTCGACACGCCGCGCAAGCACTCCGCAGCCAAAAGCCTTCAGAGGAGGAGAAACTCGGAATTTCATATGACCCAGACCTCGACTCGGGGACAGAGGAGGACCAGGACGGTTTAGGAGAAGAGAAGAGTGGTGAGGCAGCCGTGAGCGTATCCAAGCGTTTTGGAGGTTTTATGAAAGGTCGTCACGGTTTCCGGAAATTGGTGAGCTCCGGAAGGCCTTTGCAGAAACGCTACGGTGGCTTCATAGGGATAAGGAAATCTGCCCGCAAGTGGAACAACCAGAAGCGCGTGAGTCAGCTACTGAGGCAGTACCTGAGCTTGACGGGCCGCTCGGGGCGTAACCTCTCCACCGCAATCCGAAGACAGAACGAAGTTTAGATGGCCTTATAGTAGCCTAGCCTACAGGCCCTGGTCTTTTCACTTACCTCAACTCAACTGCTCATCAGCCATCAGTAACTGTGAACATCTGTCACGCACCACAGCCAGGCCAGAGCTAGATAAATCTGTGTTTAATCAAACAAGAGGAATATTTTGTTTAGTGTTGGTTTTTATCATTGACATTTCCATGGTGCCGTTCCAGACATCAAATACATCTCAATCAAGTCGTTAGGACAAATGTTGCTGATGAGAACTGATTGTTTATTTCAGAATCAGAACTCCTAGAATTAACCTTGAAGCATTGTGAAAAAATCAAATAAAAGGCAAAGCAGTGAAACTTGAGCACGTGAATCAGTTACAAATAAGAGCTGTGGGTTGTAGTGGAGGTTCGGGTTTTCTTGTTCTGTTTTGAGGATTACTGAGAGAAAAGCACTTTATATTTTTACCTTGCACACTGTATTGTGCTAAGATTGATTGTTTGCACACATCTGTGTTGTATTGAACAATCTCAGAAGCAAATTTGAGGAAGCAAGATCAGAAGTAATCTGGGATCAATCAGACTGGTTTTCAAAATCAAAAACAACAGGTGATCATTTTTATCCCCAATATATATTCTTTAGGGTTTGATGGTTTTGTGAGCCAATGCTGCCCCCTAGAGGTTGCACTCGAAATTGTTGTCCATATTTTGTGGAATACCACACATAAAAAATCACCGAAAATAGCTGCATTCACGCCATGTCATAATTAGCCTACCTTAAATAAAGTTTTGAATGCTTTCGATTCGCTCTTGACATACTTTAATGTTACACCGATCGGTATGCGCAGCGCCGATTCAAGTTGAACACTCACACTTTAAAGGGTTAGTTCACCCAAAATTAAAAGGATAATTCTGTCATTAATTACTCACCCTCATGTCGTTCCAAACCCGTAAGACATTCAGTCATCTTCGGAAAACAAAGTATTTTAATGAAATCTGAGCGCTTTCTTTTCCTTGATTGACAGATTAGGCTACACTACAACTACTTTTTACAGTTCAGAATCGTTACGGTATTTACGACATGGCATGAACGCATCTAATATGACAGATAGGCTCAAAGCAGAATCTGACCATGGCCCATACATGTTAGCCAATCAGAAAATGTGGGGCAGCTCTCTGTCCTAACAAAAGCAGCTGGGGAGTGTTCAGAAAACTTGTTGGAGAACAATTCATAGTCATTATTTTTGCAATTCGTAGAAATAGCACATTTAATTGTTTGCTTCCAACTGATGAGAATTAATGTAGCATGTGTTCCAGCTTTCTGCATTTATTTGTGCATGAACATATACAAATGAGATCATCTTAGTACTTGACAGATTCTCCCTCACATTAATACTTATCGGATGTCACGGAATAGGTTTTGAAAACTGACACCCCGACATGTAAAAAAAATAACAGGTAGTCTTTCAGCATACTTTACAGTATTCTGCTAATAATTGTATGGTTTTGTCTGTGTAGACATTTTGGCTTTGTGAATTTGAATTTTCATTTCAAACACATTCTGCAAGCATTTTTGGAAGTTTTTTCTTTTAATCCTTTCCACTTGTACATGAAATGCACACAAAAGGCCAATAAAATAATTTTACAATTGTTCTTGATGTTTGTCATGCACTAATGACAAGCTTATGACATTTGCATATTTTATCTTGTGTCTAGTTAATTATACATAATATCTTTTTTAAATGTGATGTTATGCTTTCGAATCTTTTTAAATGTTTCCAAGGGGATGATCGGGCATTGTACAAGACCTTAACACTTTTTGGAAGGATTTAAAAAAACTTACAAAAGGAAACGAGCCCGATCTATTGTCCAGGCAGTATTCAGTCAAGCTCCCTTTAACTCTTTGCAATAGCACTTTGGTATTCAATCAAAAGATTATAGCTGCACTTTTATCTCCAGACAATACTGTGACCACAATTGTGGTCAATATCATTCACTCAACATCACTCTAGCTTTTTATCTGGCAGTTTAGATTGATTAGGAAGAGCTGTGGCAAACGATAGTCAAACCTTGCGAAACTCAAAAGTTGTGACTAAATTCTGAGTAAATACATAGAAAAAAAAAGACAATACATGACATTACACTGTTACACCTTTCAGGCTAACAAAACGGCAATAGAAAAAACATCATGACAATGCTGAGAGCAATACATTGTCCACAGTATACAAAAATCAACAATCACTTAAATATCTCAGGTATGGATGAAGTGCAGGACTGGGGTAGAAAAACACCTTGTTCAAATACAGGGTTACACCTTAGTCTCGTGAGAGGGCAGAGTTTACCCTTAAGAGCTCGGGGGTCCTACTACTCCACATTCTCGACAGCTAGTACCAGCTTTCACTTTGTAGGAAATCATAGCCAAAACACTTTTAACTCTAATAGGAAAACAAAAAAAAGGTAGAAAAGTGAAAAGAGGGATCCTCTACAGTGCAGGAAATAGTTGGAGAAAAGAAAGAAAATGGTGATTCTTCCTTCCTCTCCTAAAGTCTTTGAGTTTAGTCTGGGAACCGCTGACAGGCTTTCTTCCAGCGGCAAGCGGTGCACCATTGGTCCCTACGCTCCACACCGTACACTTTCCGGCACTTTTTGGCCTCACCGCGGCCCTTCCTAAGGAAAAGATATTATTAAAAAAATGAATTATAATAAACACTTATTTATTATTGATTTAAATTTTAAAATGACTTTTTTTGTTGTGTAATGTTAAATTAAATTACATTTTTAAGTCATTAAACATTTTACAATGTATCAGAAAGGCTGCAAAGGCATATATATTAATATATACAGTAGGGGAAACATATATAAGGTTTGGAAACATTGCTATTTTAATGTTTTTGAAAGAAGTTATATGCTAATCATGCCGGCAATTATTTGATCAAAAATACAAAAGAAAGTAATATTGTGAAATATTAGTAATGGTTTTATATTTGAATATACTTTAAAATATAACTTATTTCTGAGATCCAAAGCTGAATTTTCAGGATTTTTCAACTTTTTTTAGGATTCACTAATAAATAAAAAGTTTTTTTTTTAAAACAGCATTTATTCAAAATAGTAAAGATGTATTGTTAGAAAAATACATCTTTACTATCCCTTTCTATCAATTTAACACATAATTGCTGAATAAAAGTATTAATTTCTTTCAAAAAAAGAAAGAAATTACAAACCCCAAACTTTTGAACGGTAGTGTATATTGTTAAAAAAAAAAAGATTTCTATTTCAAATCAATGCTGTTCTTTTTTCTTTTTTTACTTTTTATTCATCAAAAAAATATCAACTGTTTCCAACAATGATAATACATCAGCATATTAGAAGGATCATTTGACACCAAAGACTTAATAATAGTCTTATTATATTTATTTATTATACAATTATATATTTTCAAATTATATTAAAATAGAAAACCATTATTTAAAATTTTTATAATATTTCACAATATTACTGTTTTTTTAGTATTGTTGATCAACTAAATGCAGGCTTGAGGAGCATAAGACAATTCCAAAATTTTGATCGGTACTAATGTATAACTAAATTTTGTTCACCCATATATATATATATATATACATACACATACATTATTTGTGCTACTAGAGTTTTAGTTTTGATTAGAGACCTTTTTCTTGACTACAGAGGGCAGTATTAAACTAAGCCGTTCACCTGAATGAACAGTGCCCTCTGGAGGGAGATGCACTCATGGTCTGTGATCTGGTGGGGGTGCTGTTCCGCTGTAGCCACTGCTCTCCAACACTCACTGACCGGCTGCGAGATGTTGGAATCTACAGAGCAACATAGTAATAAAAGGCCAGATGGCATAAACTGTATTAAAATGCATCACTTATGATGTTAAGTGCTTTTGGAGAGGCAGGCCAACCTGAGGTTTCTGCTGGACATCACCAGGCAGGGTCCAGGTGCAAAAGGTGGGAGAGCCTGGAGAGACCTGAATGGGCGCGCAGGCCTGCAGTAAAACAACACAGTGATGGAAAAAACACACTGAATTAACTGACAAAATCAAACGCAACAAAACACACTAACATCATTTCTATACATAATTTTCAAACAGCATCAATCCAGTCATCTGTACCTGATAGAGATGTTCGGTGTGGATCTGCCACACGCTGCTTGGAGCTGATTGGCTGAGTGGGGTTGACTGGACTGAAATATCTTGGTGTCCCGGGGTGGATTGGCTTTGAGCCGAGCTGCAGGACGTCCAGGCCCCGCTTGAGAAGGAAGGAGCAGGAGCTGGAGGTGCAGTTTCCTCATCTTCAGAGGAGACCTCTGTGTAATAGAAGTCTTCCTCCCTATGCGACTGCTCTGAACCCCCACTGTTTGAGAGAAAATCAAATAATGGGAAGAATAAGAAACCTTATTTGTTGCATATTTGCAGACCAAGTAAATAATGTAAACCATTATGGATTTTCAAACCAATAAACCCATTGCTTAACATTATTAACCCTGACATATGAGTAGTCAGAAAAAATAGTCAGTTACACTTAAGATTAGGGTGTAATTCTCCCTAATAACTCTTTCCAAGTCAGTGTTTTCGAAAATCATTTTCACAATTTTTTAATCATTTTCACAAAAGTTTGTTGTACGAATATTCGAACATGCAATATGTCAAAAAAAACAAAAAACAGACCCTCTGCTTTTAAACAACAACAAAACCACAACTTTTATTCTATCATGCATTCATTTATTAACACTTGAATATGGGTAAGTTTCATTAAAAAAAAGCAACATTTTGAGCAAAAAACATGAGAAAATCACATTTTTGTCAAAGACTATGATGGAGTAGATCGAGTCCATCAACACCCACAAAGCTCAGTAGCACTTCAATCCAGTACATGAAATACTGTTCATTTTCTCACACAAACCGCTCGTTTCGTGCCTTAGGCCATCAATGTGTACTTACATTTACGAGTCATTAAATAATGCTTAATTTGGACTTCTCTGTGCCTGCTCTTCTTTGAGTTGGTGACCATAGACCAGCATTATATGACTGACAGACAAGAACGGTTTGACCTAAAAATATCAAAATTGAAAATACTGTGGAAACAAAGACACCTACATCTTGGATGCCCTTGAGGTAAGCTAAAACATACCAAAAATTAATTTCAAAGTGAACTATACCTTTAAGGGAGGTAGAATATGGTGATGTAGAATAAGGGACAAATATGCACTTTATAAGAACTAATAAACAGCCAGTTTCCAAGTAATATGCATTACCGTAAAATCTTTTTTTTTAATGTTATAGTTTATTGAGCCTTTAAACAAAAAGTTTGTATATGTGTTTTATTTGTTGAGTACCATATTTGATAAACCAGGCTTTGATAGCTCATATTGAATGATAGTTGCATATATAAGATATAATACAGCAGGCTTTTTAGGGTTAAAGATGCATCATAACGGTTCTGTGCCATCTCAATTGTTCCCAGAGTTCGCTATGCATGGACATACTCACCCCAGGTGAAGAATGCGAATGTGCCGTTTCATTCCGACCCGTGACGTCAGCACTTTCCCGCAGCCAGGCCACAGACACCTGTATGCTCCCCTGCTCAAGCTCTGAGAGTGAGACAGAAAAACAAAGAGTGACTCACATGTATTTTTACAACATCAGCTTAAAACGCTCTCCATTCGCCCTCAGGTTCAGCAATCTGACAGTCTTCTCATTCTCACCTTGCACCTCCTGGCCTCCGGCTCCTCACATGCGGCTTGGTCCAGCTCCATGTGCAGTCCTTCGTCTGTCAGTTGGCCCGAGCTCCTGTCCATCTCAGTGACCGATGGAGAAGGGGCTGGGCTTACACTGCCATGGTCCCAGCTCCAGTAACCGCTGCTGCCGCTGTCAGACAGCTCACCTCCGCAACACTCCATGTCCCCTATGGTAAAAAAAGAGAGGAAAAGTGTAAATAACACAGGAATAACCCTAGAATTGTAACATTCATTTTTGGGTTGTGTATTATGCTGTACAATAAAAATATATAAGCGCATATTAAAAAGGTTAAATTTCAAAGAGTGAAAATAAAAACAAAAAGTCTACTAAATTCAATCTGATGAGATTTTGTTTAATATAAACGTTCTGCGTTGGTTTGTCAAGCAAGCATACACTGAAAAAGTGTTCCTTGTTTGGTAAGATATGGTTTCCAAAAGAAGCCAGTTCACCTGGTAGGAGGTCCCTCTGCGGGGGGCTTTGGACAACTGGACTGCAGGACAGACTGGTGAGCACCATTGCAGCCATGATCTCATCCATCTCCACCGACTCAGGACTTCTGATATGGCAGAGAGTAAGAAAACTGTTCACGCTACATTATAGATCTATGATGAACATGACCCACACAATAACATTACACTTTACACATAGATAAATTCTTCTCTAAGAGAGCTAGGATAATTAAGAGTGATACGATTTTGTGTGCAAGACAACAATTAAAGATCTGTAGGTTAACCTGTAAGGTAAGTCCACACCGGAAGAGCGTGAGAATGATAGGTTTGTTTGCTGTGCGCTGACATCAGCAGTCCACTCGATCCCGGGTCCTGAATTCATCTTCTTCTGCATGCTCACCCCTTCCTGCCCACAACACTGGATGTAACTCTGCTGGATTGGAAACAAAACATTATATACAGACTATCCACACTTTTATCCTTCTATTCGTATGTTGAAGGGGCTATACATCAATTATTGTGATACACACCAATCCGTCTTGCCCTTCTGTGCCCATCGGTATTGGTGTGTCCAGTCCTGCTCTGGATCTCACCGCTGCCATGCTCTCAGCTTTGGAAAGCAGGGAAAAGCATGTTATAACAACGCCATTCATTTAATATTGCATGTTTTAATCTGAGGGCCAAGCTGGCTAATAATAACACCCGCCAAGAGACCATGAAAACGTGCAAAAATAATTAATAAATACTTTTAGTAATATCAATCTCTTAAAAAAAAAAAAAACCAAACAAATGCTCTCATACCCGAAATTCAGAGGGAACCTAAATAATCAGATATGCGATTTGTATGAAAAATGCAACATTTTAATGTAAAAATACCTTTATCGAATAGACGCGGTAGATATTTGCATATGGACAAGCAACGCAGTGGGATATTGCTCGGTGGGTGCCTTTACTTTTTTTTTAAGGGCAACACACCCCCTGACTGTGAGCCTCTCAGATACTGTAACTCCGGATTTAGGGAGTGAAATCATGGAGAGATGCAAATCCCGCATCGGATTTCGGATTCATCTCAGTGACTGGAATGTTTTGAATCCATTCGCTCACAAGATTCTAGTACAGTTCCTTTCTGTAAGTTACATTATTTGTAAACTAATATATCGCTTTTTAATCTATTTATTTTTCAGATTTTCTTTCTTACATCTATTTGAACTGCGGTTGTTTTTAACGTATTTATGTCCGCCTTTACACTTGTGTTGATTCTTGTCTCGATCACTATGACAGAAAATAAGATGCTTGCTGACAGTGTTTAATTTACACAAAGCCGACAACATGCTTTAAATGTAACGATATTCCTTTGCAGTCATTTCTTTTTTAGTTTGAATATTTTAAACAGTTCAATTAAACCGTGCCATTTGAGTAATCCAGATCCATACTTTAGCTGGGACGCTCGCAATGGGCGTTTACGTGTAGCAAAAAACAACCTTCCCACTGGGGGCGGAAGCTGTGCTCTGATTGGCTGACACGGTTCCCTGAAGGACACACCTTCGACCAACAACGTGTGCGTACACGAGTTTCTGTTCAACCCCCGTTAATGTACACAGTCTAATAGGCAAAACAACAGACAGTTGAAATACGATAAATCACATTTGTGCAAATTACTCTCGAAAATGCAGGCTTAAAATCTTTCAAAAGACATGCATTAAATAGCCACGCTAAAACAGCTCATTTTAAACACCGTACTCACGAAACGACCGCAGTACGATTGAAATCAAAACAGTTCACATAAACACTGGCTACATGATTATAGTGGAAAAAGTATGTAAACATGCAGTAACGTAAAATAACCTGAGTATCTGCCATACCGTCAATGAAAAGCCGGCGTGTTTAATGATGTTACCTTGAATGTTATCGTGGGGAGAGATGCAGCCGCTGCCTGCTGCTGCTGACGTCACGCGCGCTCCTCTCTGCCTGCGTGAGTGAGTCAGTGAGAGAGGGAGCGAGGGAGGGAGTGACGCTCGCAACATTGTTTATATAGCTTAACACGGTGCTACACAAATGTCTTATTCTATATAGTAGGCAATCACTATTCGTGGTATTATTACACAATTGTTAACTGTGTGAGGTTTATCTCTCGTTGGCTATTTTAAGAACATAGCCTAATAATAGCTTATAATAAAGTGCTCCACACTTTATTCATTTCTTTATTTTATACATATACACTCTACTGTACCTAAAGGATTATCAGCAACAACTGTAGAATTTCTCATTAATGCAATTATCACGAATCACATGGTAGTTGCTTCAATGCATTTAGGGGTGCATGTGGTCCTGGTCAAGACAATCTCCTGATCTCCAAACTGAATGTCAGAATGGGACAGAAATGTCATTTATGCCATGAGAACATGGATCCATTATGCCTTTTTACCACTGTGCAGGCTGCTGGTGGTGGTGTAATGGTGTGGGGGATGTTTTCTTGGCACACTTTAGGCCCCTTATCCATAAAACCTGAAAACACAACATGCCTGTGTGTGAGTCACAGTGTTAATGTCTAAATAGCTAAAAACGGATCCTATTGGTCTGTTCCATCATGTGTTTCTTAAACAAGAACAAAAAACATTGTGTTTTTCTACCACATTACAATAATCATTTTTTATTATATATCTTTTATTTTCAATATTAATTATATACATGATCAAAGTATTCCACACTATTATACACACACACACACACAGTCCCATGAAAACAACATGTAACAAATATCAACATTTATCTTATATATTTTCATATTTAAATGTATCCCCAGGATAAGTCATTTTAAATTAAATGTACAGTATAGACAGAAGTCTGCCTGCAGATTCAAAATGTGTCACCTTTCACCTATATCATTTGGTCTATTTCCTAAATATTCAGCATTGTTTATTTGCAAACAGACATTTGGAAGAAAATGTTCATCATGTAAATGATGTCTGGGGATTATAAGCTTTCTTCTGTCTGCCGCCGTAGCCGACGGACTTCATCCTCCAAAGGGGATTTTAGGTCTGGACAGCACAAGCATGTTGGGTTTCAGTCTCTGAATCCAGTCTGGGTATTGGCTCGAGGCATTATATCATGTGACTCATGCTGACCTACAATAACCCAGACGTGTTTGGCTTCCTTTATACAGTTTTATGTGAAGTTGCAGTGATGCTAAAACAAATATACTTATTTATTAATCTAAATCTGTTTTTGTTTTTAAGACTTATCAAATATAAAGGCATAAAGACGTATAAAGACTTAAAAAGCATAAATATAAATGCTGCATTGTAAATGAAAATTTTGCTTTACAGTATAGCGTCATACTAGAAATGTTTGTCTGGAATGGGAGGGAGAGCCTCCCTAGCAATAGCACTCATTTCAACCACAGTATCTGTAGAAAACTGAGGTTTTGTGCTTTTGTTTTTCCAGTTCACTGCAGCATAAACAACTGAGCTGGTCAAATGTAGATCATGGGTGTGAGGTTCAGAGAGACGCTGCTCCACTGCCTGTTTGTTGAGGGCTGAGACAGTGTGATTATCATCAGGCTTTGTCATTGCTGTGGAAGGGCTCTCGTTCTCCCCTTCAGCTTTGTCAGATGGAGGCTCTTTAATGCACTCGTAAGGGTTCTCCTCATTCAGTTCAGCCTCTGAGTATATATGATCAGATAGATCCTTGGCAGCTGGCATACATTCAGCACCCTTGGACTCAGGGAGTTTCTGAAATGAGAACATACATTTCTGAGAATAAATGTTTATTATTATTTACTTTTTTCTCCATTCCACGTCACATGCTACAGTATATTATGCCAGTCCTTCATGATTAATCATGATCAAAGATTTTTTTATCTGCTCTCCATTACAGTGTCATTTCCCTTACATGATTAATCTAATAACTCTAATTCGCTGCAATTTACCACTAAGTGATTTTAATAGACCATCAAAAGATGAATATGGTTCAACAGTCAATTGCAATTGGTCTCAAAGCAGGAAAAAGTTTCTTCCTCCAAACTCAAGTAGTCAGCAGTGGTCCGCACTACTCAACAAAAGCTTTGTTTATACTGTATATGCTAACAGTCATATATAGTACACTGGGAAAGTAGATATAAATGTGGAATGTTCCACATTTCCTATATTCAAAACCAGACTCAAAGTGTGGCTTATAGCAATATGTTTTTTGTTGTTGATTCTGCTTGTAATTTTTATTTAGTTTTTTCTTGTTTATTTAATTATTTTCTGTTATTTTGTTTGTTGTAATCTTTGTATTTTTTGTTATTTGTCTAGGGACTACGGATGTAAATTAGCCCTGTGGCTATAATCCGGCATGTTTATGTCTGTTTTGTTGTCTCAATTCAGAAGTTCATTAATGTGCAATGTCCCTATCAAATAAATAAAAAAAAAATAAAAAAAAATAAAATATAATTTTAAGCAACCCAATCATTTTTACTGGGAACTTCAGTTTTGAACAATATTGCATTGTGAACTCTAAAAAACGGGTTGGATCCAAAATGGACAAACCAAACCATTGCTTTATATTTTTAAATAACATTTTAAACCCAGTGGTTTGGGTTTGTTCATTTGATTTGACCCAAACATAAGTTGAAACAACCCAGAATTTTTTAGAGTGTAGCAACAGCCAACAGTAATATTTGGCTGGGGTGGTGATGGCGCAGTGGATAAGACACATGCCTTTGGTGTGAGAGACCCAGGTTCGAGAGACAAATGTGTTCTTGAGCAAGACACTTAACCCCTAGTTGCACCAGAGGCGTGCGACCTCTGACACATATATTTGGATAAAAGCGACAGATAAATGTAAATGTGATATGTACTGTTTTCTGAATATGTGTGGTGGCTTATATCGGTCTCTTACATTTTGTGGAGATGCCAATGGAATATTTCTTTTCTCTTGTCTCTGTAAATTGCTGGATGATGCACTGTCAAACTTACTGGAGACATAAAAAGAAAAGTCACTATTTCAAATGTTATATATAGCATCCATAGTGCACGGTTTTTGCATGCAAACATAATAGGCTATTATCAGTATTCCATCTTCATGGTTTACATATGTGGTTGACAAACAGGTCTCTACTTTTATTACAATAACACAAACACAAACGATATTCATGCTGTGCATGTGAACTGGGCTCTTGGTGACTTGTGCGTCTGAACCTGTCATTGCACATTCCACTGAGATCACCCATTTACTCACAGCAATTCAGCTTCTGTTACAATCACTCCCTTCTCTTGGGTGTGTTTTGAATCAGCACATGTGATAATGAATGATGAATTCCCAAATATGCATTTAAATATACAGTAAAGGCGAAATTTAAGAGACTTACCTGAAACAGCTTGTACAAAGGCTGTAGAGTGTGACATAAATGATGATGAAGAAGGCTGACACAATACTAATCTGAAGAGATGAAGAACAACCTGATAACCAGGGAATCAGACCCTCCTCAACAGGAGCCATGACTCTTCATCCAGTTGACTGAAAGGTAAGAATAGAAGGAAACTGCCACAGTTGATATTCTCGATCAAAACAAGCTATGAGATTGTTGATGGGCCAATGAGCAAAAGTAATGAAAGCGAATATAATGTAAGCTGTTATTGCTGTTCTCACAAATATGATTAGCTACACAGGTGAGTACATGTACAAGTCACGCCTCTCTTACCATGTAACACAAACAGACTGCAATTGTTAGGGAAATGTTTATTAGGCTACTATTTTAAAAATGAGTGAAAAGTAATACCAAAAAAAGCAGTAAAAAGTGACACTAATTTAAAATGTACATTAAAATACAAATCTTTACACTGAATATAAATGAAAATTATTTTATTTCTTGGATCCGTGAGATCTGTTTTAGAAACTTCCTACAAACAGCCTTTCTCTATCAGTCTGCATTCAAGAATAAAAGAGAATCTCCCTTTACCTTTGACCTCAGTTACACGATCCTAGATCAGCTGTCATCATCCTGTCTTTACCGGCAGCAACACACAACACAACAGGGATTTGACAGTTACACTTCCTCATTCTGGATTCCAGCAGCCACTCCAGTTCCTAATCCATATCTCCCTATATATGCCTCAAATGAATTCACTTCACTTTTACCTGTTCGTGTAATTACCTAAATAGTTGATTTATATATAAAACAATATCCTTCTTTTTCAGATTTTTATTGATATATGGTTAGTTCTGTTTTGAATTAGATTTAAATAATTAGGCTAAAACATAAAAAAACTTTATTTTTTTCCCCCCTTTTTAAATATGGAACGCTGCTGCCTCCCAATGGACAAATGAGGTATCATAAAATAAAATAAACTAAACTAAATAGCATGGTAAAGTTTTTAATTATAAATAAAAAAAGTTAACTGAAATCAAAACTCACCAAAGGTTTATTAGAATGCTTGGATTTTAATGTAAACACTTTTTAAAATACAAAGCACAATCAAAAGTCCAAAGCAGTTTCTAAGGCACCGGGTTTAAACTGAATTTCCCACTGAGTGCAAAATAACTTGAATGTTTTTGAGTTTTCAAGTAAATAGGCCAGGCCATAGAGTTCTGGATTTGAGAGGAATGTCGGCTAAGTGGTAGATTATACTCAGTCAGCAGTGAATTCATTTGTGGGGAAATCCCCGCTTAGTATTTCTGTTTGTTTGTAAAAGTATAGTTAGAAAAGTAAAATGCTTCCCTGAGACTGATATCTGCCATTTCAGATAAATGGTACAAAAGCTGTCACTGGGGTGCTACCCTTTAAAAAGTTACACCTTTGTACTTTATTTACCCAATAAAGGATACACCCCTTTAATATTCATGCCTACAGTGTACATATCGCCTGTGTGACAGCTTTACCATTTCTTGTGAAAGTGTGTGATTTCAAAATGTGATTGTGGGACTTTTAAAGTAAAAAAAGAAAGAGAAAGAAAGAGACATCACAATTCTCATAATAAATCCACTAAAATATATTAATAAATGCATTGTGGTACTGTATAACTAACAAAATCAAATCTTCTCAAAATGTTTTGCAGTCTTTTTTCTTCAGCTGTCTTTGCACAGCTCCTGTCATTAGAACCGCAGTCAGAACACAGCACAGCACCAATAAGAAGAAGGATCCTCCAGCTAGTAAAATGAAGTGTTCTCCATGCACACCTTCTCCAGACTGCTGATGCACCAGATAATCTCTAAATATTGCTTCCAGCTGGCACATAGTACACATGGCCAGGAAGATGTGGAAGATCTGATGTCCGTGGCCCACAATGTCACATCTCCCTGGAAAGAAGCGCTCAGGAACTGGGCAAGAGAAAAACAGAGCCGATAACACAAAAAACACCACTTGCAGGGCGTGAAACACCAACACTGGCTCGTCCCAAGATCTGGTGACCAGGCGGTGAGCAACGGGGCTTATGTCGAGCAAGTAAGCCAGGCTGGTGGGAATGATCTGGCAGATCTTGCGGTGGAGGGGGTATGGACGGCGGTAACGGAATTTGGCGTAGCAGCAACTGGCGCAGGACAACCAGGCCAGCACCGCGGCACCGGGTAGAAACAAAGCTCCCACTGGGCTGTGTCTCCATTCTGGCTCAGAACAGTAAAAATAGTGGCCTAGTGCACAGCCATATTGGTAAACAGCTACGCCGACGTAGTCTACGAAAAAGAGTGAGTAATGGGCCAGCTCAGAGTGTGACTGAAGCAGGTGGGCGGCCACGCTGAAACTGAGGTAGGTAAGTGACGACAACATGTACAAAAACAGAGGCAAAGACGCCACATTGAGCGTTAGCCCCGATGCCCCGAAAGAAAAGTGAAGTAGGAGCGCAGGGATCGCCAGAAGGTGTGTCCATACATTGAGCGACTCGTTGTGACATTGAAAGAGGCTACAGAAGTAGCTCAGCCATTCCTGACGCACAGGACGATAGCCAGACAAGATGTAGGGCTCACGAAACAGGCTTGGCACATCAGAGGCGAGTACGGTGGCTTGAGGCAAAGGTAGACGGGGCAGCCAGTTTGACAAGTGTGGTAACTGACCCAGCTGCTGTATACTCAATGTCAATGCACTAAGACGGCCCAAGACTCCACTTGGCATGGTGAGACTCTGGATCAATAACAAAAATGAGCTGCAACGAGAAGCAGAAAACAGCACGAGGATAAATTATCAGTATGCCATGATTCATACCTCTGCCAGACAAAGAGCCAGTTCTTGCTGAATTAAACCTCTTACACTTGGTAAGTTAATATCTGGCCTGGTTGAATTGATCATTGTGCTTGTACTCACATTGTGCCCTGCTATATATTTCTCCAAATCAACGTTTTTCAATTTTAAAACACTAACTTAGCCTTGAAACCTATATGTTGCCTACTAATGCACTGCTGGGGGTTATAGATTTGAGTAATGGTTGCATATGTATGATGCCTAAAATGCTGTCTAGGGAGTTTAGGTTATTAATGATTTGTACATTCTGTGATTAGTATTCTGTATTTTTAAAAAAACTCAATACTAGACTACTGAAACCACACTTTACAGCACATTTCAAAGAAGGCAAGTTTGCCAAATTTGGTTATATTAAATTGTATTTGTAATTTATCATTATAAATAATTAAGAATAAAAAATAGGCTACTTTCAAATGTGCCCTATTAAGTAAAGAAAGAGCAAGAATAGGCTATGTGACATTTATACAATCTTCTGCAAAAAAAAAAAAAAAAAAAAAAAGTATTGACTATGCGTTAAATAAAAAAGAGTTTATTTCTCCTCACCTGTGCGAGACTGGTTGAAGTCGCTCTTCACTTTACCCAGACTTCACTATTCACTCTTTTAAGGGTTTAACGGGGTTCATATTAACCTAAAGATTAAATCCGGTTCTCAGACTTTTGCATTATTATTACCTTGGCAACTTTGCTGTCCATGTCCAAGCCTCAATCTCAAATGAACTGAGAGACTTGTTGTGTCGGCTTCTTGTGAATTTGGGCGGGGCTACAAATTATTCATGTTTGAAGGGACTCTTGACTCAGAAAATGACTCAGTTCAGTGTTGGAAAACCTCAAATATGAAGAAAAAAAAATTATATAAATATAATTAAAATAAAAATTATCGTAAAATCTCCATTCTTATGTCTGAAGACTAATTTTCTCAAAATAAAATGAATAAGAAAAAAATCTGTCAAATCGGGTTCACTATGATTCAGTACAGTGAAAGTAAATGGTGACTGAACTTTGTACTGTTTATAACTGTGTACAAAATGCTTTGATATGATGTTTAATAAATATTACATTTGATTTACAGTGACTTCAAATGGGCACAAAATAAAATGAGCAAACAGCATGGACACATGTTTGTTGTTGTCTTCAACTACCATTATTTGCCAGTTGCCACAACAGCTCCTCCGCATCTCAAGATGTGAACGCATGCGCAGAACCGGTTCTCTTTTCGCGCGAAACACTGAAGAAGGCCGGGCGAATCTTTACTCTATGGATTTGATTGGACGCCGCAACCCAAAAGACTGAATATGTTAATAAGTCACTGGTGTGTTGACCAATCAACTGTCGGATTCCACAGCGAGAGAAGTCTGTTGGCGCGAAAAGACACACAACAGTACGGCGATCGACACGAGGTGGTTCTCCACAGAGTATTTCTTAACACTTTTAGAAGCTATATATAAAAATGGCTACTGAAGTTTTGGACGACCAGGAACTGAGAGAGGCGCAAAGGGATTACCTGGATTTTCTTGACGATGATGTAAGCATAACACATTTATTATATAGTTATTAAATGTTAAACTATTGAAGTTATTGTGTCTTACAAGAAACAAAGGCCCACTCTCATAAACCATAATGTAACTTACTTTAAACTTGTTTTCGTGGGCATTTTTGCTCACGTTTTGTTTGTTGACAACTTTTTTTTGGCTTTTACGCTTTTCAGCAAGACCAGGGCATCTATCAGAGCAAAGTACGACAGATGATCAGCGAAAACAAATCCAGGCTCATTGTGAACCTCAACGACCTGCGACGCCGCAACGAAAAGCGAGCAGCAAAGTGTGTTTAACTTTATTTTTTAAACCATTTCCCCCTCCCTTACAACCTTTTAAAGTGTATACATGCATTAGTGAGTTGGGTCTACATTAAATTACATATAAATATATTTCCATGCATATTAACTATATGTCCTGAAAATACAGTTTAACATAATAATGTGTGTGACAATGTTTTAATTGACATGAACTATCTCTGGACCTCAGGTTGCTGAATAATGCTTTTGAAGAGCTTGTGGCATTCCAGCGTGCCCTGAAAGATCTGGTGGCTTCAATAGATGCCACTTACGCCAAGCAACACGAAGAGTTCTTTGTTGGTCTGGAGGGCAGCTTCGGCAGCAAACATGTCTCTCCTCGAACCTTAACATCTCGTCTGCTGGGTAGCATGGTGTGTTTGGAGGGCATTGTCACTAAATGTAAGTCCAAGCCTTTTTATGTGCGTTTTAAGGATTTGATATTTTGCATGTCATGGACAGTGAATTGATCAGACTGTCTGTATTCACAGGCTCTTTGGTGCGTCCCAAAGTAGTACGCAGTGTGCACTACTGCCCAGCCACTAAGAAGACCATGGAGCGCAAATACACTGATATGACCTCTCTGGAAGCCTTCCCTTCAAGTGCCATTTACCCCACCAAGGTACTATGATTTGCCCCAACTCACAACTTAGATTAGTGGAATCATGCAAAGATATTGAGGCCAGAATATGATGATCAGGATCACCTTGCGAAGAGACCCCCTTTCCTGAAATAGACAGCTGTTTATTACTATAAGATCTGTTAATATTCTGTGAGAGAAACAATATGAAATTTTAAAGACAATAATGTCAAATTATTTTAGTAATAATAAAATTATTATTATTATTAACATTATTATTAATACTATTAATACTCTGTGTCTATATTTGATCCATTCAGGACGAGGAGAACAATCCACTGGAGACTGAGTTCGGTTTGTCTGTCTATAAGGACCATCAGACCATCACAGTGCAGGAGATGCCAGAGAAAGCCCCTGCTGGTCAGCTGCCCCGCTCTGTGGACATCATCCTGGACAATGACCTGGTGGACTGTGTAAAGCCAGGGGACCGGGCGCAGGTGATCGGGACCTACCGCTGCCTGCCCGGCAAGAAGGGTGGCTTCACCTCGGGCACCTTCAGGTACAGCTTCACCAGCTTTGCTTAAATGGTTTTGAAATGGTTTTGATCATACTATTTATGACAAAGCCTAAATATATCTTGTTATCCCATTTGTGTTTGTTTAGGACCATCATGATCGCCTGTCACGTTAAACAGATGAGCAAAGAAATCGCTCACTACTTCTCTGCAGATGATGTAGCCAAGATCAAGAGCTTCTGCAGATCTCGCTCAAAGGTAAGAGAATGGAAGTGTTTCTGAATGGAAGTTTCAGCTCCTAGTCGGAATGCATTCAAGATTTGGACACATTTTTGGGAAGTGAACTTTATGAAATGATTATATGTGTATGTTCTCCTAATATGTTTGCCTTATGCGTCTTTCTTCTCCTTTAGAACTTGTTTGATCAGTTGGCTCGGTCACTGGCCCCCAGTATTCATGGTCATGAGTACATAAAGAAGGCCATCCTGTGTATGCTTCTAGGAGGGGTGGAGAAGGTTTTGGAGAACGGCTCGCGCATTAGAGGAGACATCAACTTACTTCTCATAGGTATTTGCCTGCTTAGAGTTGCACAAATAATGAGCCACATTTTTTTTATACAAATCTCTCTCTGTGCTGGACATCAGATTAACTTTTTTGTAGCTATGTAAGTCGCAAGTATACTCAAGCTTTTTTTCTGCGTTTTTTTTTTCTGTAGAGATCTATATATATATATATATATATATATATATATATATATATATACATTTATCATAAAAACTTTATAAGAAACAATACATATATTATAAGTAATTATTTAAGTTGCTAACACGTAGAGGATCTAGACCAAGCACATGTTTTTCAAACATTTTGCCCCAACCTTGTGTATTCCCCCTTCCTTTTAAGACCCATTCATATTCTGTGAGAGAATTAGTAAGCATGATATAATAAAGACAACAATGTCAAATAATTTATTTAGTTTTGTTTTGACCTGTTTTCTGTTAATGTCGGTTACAACCACCAGATGACGCCGTTGATCAGTTTACTGGTTAAAAAAATTACTTAAACAAACAAAACATACTTTTCTTAGCACCCTAAACAATTAATATACTTAGTATATGTAAAATACCTAATAAATGAACGCATAAGATGTGTTTAAAGTCCGCATAAATCTCTACTTCTTAGGTGACCCGTCCGTGGCCAAGTCTCAGCTGCTCCGGTACGTTCTGCACACCGCACCTCGTGCCATTGCCACCACAGGCCGAGGCTCATCAGGTGTAGGTCTGACTGCAGCTGTCACCACTGACCAAGAGACAGGTACTGCGTTTCACACACACACACCATCGAGCCAAGAAACCATAGGTTCATTAATTACAAGTTTGCCTATTTCAGAGTTTTGTTTGTTCTTTTAACATTAAGTTGTATCTGTCCCTCAGGTGAGCGTCGTCTCGAGGCTGGTGCCATGGTTTTGGGGGATCGCGGGGTGGTCTGCATTGATGAATTTGACAAAATGTCAGATATGGATCGGACTGCTATCCACGAGGTCATGGAACAGGGCCGCGTCACCATCGCCAAGGCCGGCATCCATGCTCGACTCAATGCCCGCTGCAGCGTCCTGGCAGCTGCCAATCCTGTCTACGGCCGCGTAAGTTCCTCATTTGGTGTTCGTAAAATCTGAATCTGTGAGTAATCCGTATCTCTGCATCATTTCATAATGTTATTCTTGATAAATATCCAGTGTAGTTCAAGAATTCACCCAGACCGCACCACAGTGTCGGCACAGATCCATCTGGCCCAGACAGTATGTTGTTGCCTGGGCAGATTTAATAGAACAATGTTTATGATTTTGTCTCTTTATCTGCAGTATAATCAGTATAAGACCCCCATGGAGAACATCGGCCTGCAGGACTCGCTGCTGTCTCGTTTTGATTTGCTCTTCATCATGCTGGATCAGATGGACCCAGAGCAGGACCGGGAGGTATCCGACCATGTCTTGCGCATTCACCGCTACAGGGATCCCCATGAGCAGGACGGACAAGGTACAAGCTGATAGATAGCATATTATACTATATATTTAATGTTAAGTGTGTCACTTCTGTGCAGTTAATGCCACCAAAAAGAGTTAGATAAATATGGAATGGGAGGAATTTTAACATTAAAAACTTAATTTGATAACTTGAATTGTCTGTGAATAAAACGTGATATATTCTGTATTAGGAAAGAATTTTGTGTTAGTGTTTATTTAACTCGTGTGTGTTTCAGCTTTAGCTCTTGGTGGTGCGATCGATGCATTGGCCACTGAAGACCCTAATGTAGTTCAGGAGGAAGAAGAGGAGCTACAAGTGTATGAGAAACACAATCCACTTCTCCATGGAAGCAAAAAAAAGTATGAAGTGCCCACTTTTTTTTCTTATCTTTACCTTCTGTTTGTTTTCTCTAATGCAAATCACCAATGCTAATTCAGCTCAGATTATGTCTGCTTTATAATATTACCATGTGCCTTCAATGATGATTTGATATGTGAATTGGGTTGCCATATATAGCTTTTAAAAGATAATTTTGCGCTAGCATTGAAAAGTTTAGGGTTGGCAAGATTTGTTTTAATGTTTTTGAAAGAAGTCTCTTATGCTCACCTAGGTGGCATTTATTTGATCATAAATACAGCAAAAATAGTAATGTTGTGGAATATTATTACAATTTAAATACAGTTTTATTTTAATAGATTTTACATTTTATATATTATATTTGTGTGTAAACCATGAGACATTTTTTCATACTTTTTGGATGAATAGAAAGCTCACAAGAATCTTTTCTTACACATTCTGTCAAATA